GAATGTTTTCCAGAGGACTTGGATAATAGCGCGTTGTGACAAACACCAGATACAGCACTGGGACTTGATCAACAGCCGATACCGCACCATGACGTCACTAACCAGTAGGTGGCAGTAGTGTTCTTTGACAAACATGGATGCCTCCAGTAAAGCACATTCACATGGAAATTACGCTGAATTAAAAACATTTATAATTTTTATTACACATTGTTTAATTTGTCTGCTTAATGTAATTCACTATAATGAATTTATTTTGGGTTTTTATGATAAACTTCAGATATAAAGAGATTTAACAGACAGCACTAGATTAAGGCGCCGTCTGTGCAGAGAGAATATTTACTAACTTAAATGAGTTATTGTGTTTTTTTATTAGAATAAAGATAAATAAAGATAGAAATTGAAAGAAGCAAAGACTGTTCATCCTTTCTTTATTATAAATCATGCTAGCTTTAACATTTTAAATGGATAAATTGGGTTTATTTCTTTTTTAATCCCTGCCTGTTCCAGTCGATGACAGCTTGTGTTTATAATCCGTGTTGAAATCCGAACGTGATGCTAGAATGAATGACTCACCGTCGGCTCCTCAGCTGATGTGTGTTGTAGTCCTGCTGCTAGTTTTGATGAACCCATGTCTGAATGTACTCATGAACTGCTGGATATCCAAATCTGTTCACGCTCGGCTCTACATCATAATGCACATATCCAGTCTCCTTTTGCATGAGCTGTTTTGGAGTTTTTTCTTGGCAAAACTGACAATCGCATAAAAGAAGAGATGGAATGCCAAAGCCTAAATGATGAGTATCTTTAGAAGTAAAGAAAAAAAGAAATACCATCAGGCATTGTGTGAGTAAAGGGTTTTACTTTCTTCTCATTCATCCTCACGGAAGCAGCTCCATCCTTAAAAAAAAACTGCAAAAAAGAGACTGAATTCCCTGAAGATGTTTAGCGTAGACGCTGGTGAAGCTGCCAGGAACGGTTTGAATGTTCGTCCTCCAGCAGCCGGGAGGCCGCAGAGTTCAGTGTTTACACCTTCCCTGGGCCTTGATCGCTCAGCTGTGCTGCTTTTGAACTGCGGTCGGCAGCTGCAGGGCGCACAATGACAGGCTTATAAAACCTTAGAGCTCACCATTCACTAGACCTGCAATGAATGGCAGTGTGCACATGGCGGCTTGGAGTGTAAATGACGGAGCACGGCTTCCAGGCGACAGAAGCTGAGTCACTTCCAGCTACTGGGGGATGGCGCCACCTATGGAAATGTTGACGGCCAGACTTTCAATGATTTACCTAAAGCTGCTCTGGTCGTATCCCACTGCATCTTACTCTCTTTTATTTTCATATAGTCAGTTATTTATTTGGTTTCTCTGACTGCAGAGTCAGTGATCGCTACCTGTGCTATATATATATATATACATATATATATATATATATATATATGCACTACCGTTCAAAAGTTTGGGGTCAACCAAACAATTTTGTGTTTTCCTGAAAAGTCACAAGACTTTGACAAGGTTAGAAATAATGATTTGTATTTGAAATAAGATTTTTTTTTTACATCAAACTTTGCTTTCTTCAAGAATCCTCCATTTGCAGCAATTCCAGCATTGCAGACCTTTGGCATTCTAGCTGTT